TTACCGCTGTTTGTTTTCTCTTTCTCTCTTTCTCCCGATGATCTTTGGTTGACAAGCTAGTGTCACTTTTGAAAGGCCTGGGACGAGCTTCGAAGATTCTCCGCACGTGGCAAAGTGCGCATGTTCCAAGCATGATGGTGAAAAGAGATGGCGGAGGATGAAGAAGATGACCCGGTCGTTGCGGAGGTTTGCTTTATCACGACTGTGGACAAACTTCCACCATTAACTAAGAGAGCAGTTTTATAAGGCATAGATCTTTCTAATTCTTCCATAGGTGGACGTTTATTTGGCCCAGACTTTGGCCAACAAGCTCTACTTGTTTCAGGTATTTCTGCATGTAGACGTATGGTAAACGTATGAATCAATGCAGAAATTCCTTGAAACTTTCTGCATGGAAATTTAGTATTACGAATTAGCTCGTGTTAGTTAAGTTGTTATAAAGGATGAGTTTGAACTCCACCAGAGATATTTCCTTCGAAATTTAAGTCTGGTCCTGACAGCGATAAACGTTTGCCATATGTTTTACTAAGAAACTTTGCTTGACTCAGAGAATTGAGAGCCGTTTAAGGTTTCGTTCTTCCGCCCTCTGAGCTCAGTTATAGCCACAGGCGTAAGTGGGAGCAGAAGTTTTTAATACCCTCTGAGGAGGATGTTGTATTTTTTGCACACAAAGTTGTTGAATGGCAAGGCTTTAATACTTCCAGCAACTTTCCTGTTGATTTTTTAATTTTTATAAGTGCCTCATATGCCAAGATAATGCAAAAATCAAAGCACTGAGCTCTGTCCTCGTGTACCAGTTTACAAAAACTTAAATAGAAGAACAAACAATACACTAAAGAAGCAATAACACCAAATTAAAAGAAATACTAATGGTGAACCCAGCACTTGTTACTTGCACACACTGTAGGCAGAGCTGAATTCTGTCACATAAATGGTGTTAATGCTTGATATATTTAAAAGGATTTCACACAAAAATAGCCAGGTCAGATCAAAGACCTTTTAAAGAATCTGCCATAAAACCATTAATGGGTTTATGGTAGATTCTAAAACAACCCAGTTAAGCCTTATACCACTCAGTGATATTAGGCATAACCTTTTTAACTATTAGTTGGCTTTGACAAGGATATTGGTGTTCTGTAACCTTATGTGTCACTTAGGCACAGAGAGGATTATGCATGTACTGTATGTACAGAGTGTACATGGACAGTATTGTCTTACCACTTGAATTAATGCTGCTTAACATAACATATATAGTTATAAATATTAATATCGTGTTCAAAATTTATTTTTTTTCCTTTTCCTTTGGTCTAAGTCCCAAGTTAGAGAAAAGTTTATTTTAAAGAACTATTGAGTTGTACCGTTCTATCAATCATATACCTGTTGGTAAAAGAGTTCACGTGATAAAATTTAGTAATGAAATTTCTTCTCATATTTGTTTTAGTACCCAGTACGTCCTGGTGATATACCTTATGACAATATACCTCATA